ACAACAATCCTATCACCTTGACACCCCAACCATAAACCAAATCTCATCCACAATAGATTCATCCAACCCTCCTACCCCTACACCCTCTTCAATTTATACTGATTCATTAGCACCATCATCCACAACTACTGTATCTTCACTCAGCACTAATAGAGCTTACCGCACTTTTAAAAGGAAGTTCCCCAACCATCCTTTCCCAGCGAAACCAGGAACAGCCCGTGAATACATCAACCATCCACAACACACTAACACAAAAGAATTTTTAGCTATCACCTTACCCTCATTTCCACAATACACCTTAAACACCCCTCATGACACTAACGAGACACGTAACTTTGTAGACGAATACGTTTTAATGCCTACCCTTCCTTGGACCTCATATTATCATTTTACAAATCCCCTTTGCTTACCTTTATCTAACACTCATATCGATATAGAACGAAATATGGACATGCTATATCGACTCACTACACCACTAACACCTAGACAATTTACTTACATTGGATACAAAAAATCACTAAAAACACACACTGCACCCCGAGCTAATGAATATACACTAGAATATTACGACCATAACATCATCAGAACTAACCAAGATCAATTCTTAGACGACGATCGCTTCGCTAACCCACAAATCACCGAGAAATTTTTCATTAAAACACCATATGTATTTACACTAAATATCTTCGATCGCAAGTTTGACCACATTATCTCAGAAGCACTAACAGACACGCAAGCCTACGAAAGTTTTAAAGAACGCTTCCAAATATTTTCACTAACCTTTCATTTCCTTGCACCACATGAAAGAGATTTGCACTGCTCACACGATATTATGTTGCGCACTAAACAAACACACACATATACTTATTATCGTTTCATCCAAAATCACTTTGACCTACACACTCCCTCCAGACAACCACACCATCGTTTTCAATTCATCAATTCCAAATACACCTCACCATTCTTTCTTAACTTCACATATTGCATTAAAGATACTAACCTTCATGGTATTCTTCGAAATTATGATCCCATAACCCAAATGTATATCTTTTGTCCCATCACCAAGACCTTCAACGCAGAAGAATCCCGACCCTTCCTCATCCCACACGAGTTTGTACAACCTATAGAAATCCCCATTTTAGAATTCATCCATAACACTAAATTCAACCACAAATTATATAATCTAATCCAAAACACACCTTATGAATTTGCAGTTGGCACTGAAGAACTAACCACAATTAAGGCACTTCAATTGCTTTGGCCACTGCTTCAAACTAAAAATATCATCCGCATATTAGCCAAACTACTAACAACTTCAGATCTCATTCACGACATTTTCCCCCACGGTTTCTTCCCCGACGACTAACAGGTAAGTATGAATTATACATATTACTAATTAATTCAAACATTAGAAACTCACCATTCTTTATCCATGTTTTCTTTAGAATTTTAGCCTTCATCCAACGATCATCTGAAAAATTCACAAAAGAAAAATAAAAAATAGCAAACTTCTTCAAAACTGTTTAAAACCCTATTAAATTTTTGCACCAACAATTAAATAAATATAATACCAATGCAGTAAATTAATTTATAAATTTTTCCCCCACCAGCAGTAAATCTAATAATGATGAAAATTTGTAACTTAATTTCCCCCAACAACTAGCAGTAAAATTAAAATTCTATGTAGTAAATTCATAAGAAGCAAAAGCAGTACTAACCTTTTGATATTTTCATTCACTCGCATAAGAATTCTATCCACACTCGCACAGCTCGCCCACGAAGAATTGTTTAAAATAATGAATTTCAGTTTCAAGCTTTCACACTCGATAACTCTAACACAAGATAACACGTTTCAAACTTTCCTTTAACCCGGTTGGAAAGGAATTATATACTAAACAAAACTAACCAATGCAGCTTACTAAACACCACAACACATAGCATAACAGCATGACTAAGAAAAGGAAACCAACGGTACCCAAACCGGATTAACCCAGTTTAAAACTGGATAATTTATTCTTTTGAAGACTATTATAAAGTCTAAGAAAGAAATAATAAAACACAAAAAAGTCGAAAGACAAACCCATACCACAAACAATTTGATTTTTGAAAAAAGGACACAACCAACAAAACATAAGAAAAACCACAACAAACCCAACATAAAACGTTGTCACATAACAGGACCTCTCACAAAAACCGCATGCAATCATACTCCCACTCCTGGCCTAACCCACCAGGAAGGACGTCCTGAGCATGCTCTATAGCCGGCCTAACCCACCGTGCTACATCCACGCTTTGTGACCACACTCCTATTTTTAATAAGAGCTACTCAAGGGTGAGTAACTCTTCAAAATAACTGAACTAAAACAAAAAGCTTTTGTGAAAACAACTAACTAAAATCATAATTAAAAAATATTAAACTAATAAAAGTTTTATAAAATGTAAATTACAATATGCAATACATAGATCAGAATACAACACCAAGGACGAACATCCAAAGACAAAACGACCCTACTACACTCGAGAAAGAATGGCCAACTACAATCAATATGCCGCCCACAATCACAACTCAAAGGATTTAGAGTACGACTTGACTTCGCAGAAAAGGACTTCATTGAACTAGACCAATGACCACCTCGATGTTCAAGTACACGTACAGATCCGAGTAACCAGGCATCCCCACCACGCACAATCTCCACGCCATTCCCAGACAAGGTCAAACACAAAGAAGTTCTCACCAATGAAACAGAAAAACCTGACATAGCCAACCATTCTGAAATCAGATTTGAGTTTGTTGCGAAAACCCAGTCGTTGTCTTGAGAAGACACAATGATTGAATCTGGGACTTCTCTAATAAGAAAACCCAGAAGAAATAAGATGTTCGCCAAATACCAACGTCCATCATCCATCTTTCGAATTGCAGAAAAACTATTCTAAAAAACTCTGTAAAACCCGGATGGGTGGAACCTGATCTAAACTACATTTTATGATTAGATAAATTAGATATTTTACCAATGTAAAGTATTTAATATTAACCAATCATGATCCATCTAACTAACAATCCACTTATTTGTAAGTGCTGAAATTACTTGTAATTTCAGCACCAGAGAGATTTGAATTTAACTTAGAAATTAGTTGAACTCTCCCGAGTACTTCAGCAACCGCAATAAACCAGTATACCCTAGATCTATTGAGCCTAGCAGAGACTAGTTAAACAACCTGAGACTAGATAGTATAAGAGTAAGATTAGGATCGGTATTAGACTAAGAAGTTGCACGAATCTATCCGGCCGAAAATAAGATAGCGTGACGAGCAGACGGTGTACCCTATCCGAAATTACTCTATGAGTTATACACTTCGGTCCTAACTCAATATAGAACATGATAATAATAGTAATGGTGATGGGGATCGTTTGGTATATTTTCGCTTGGCTTATATACCGTACATTTTCATATTTTCAACATTCCATCTGTTGGTTAAGCCAATCAGAAAGAGACAACATATGTCGTAATGGTTGCTTTTGGTGATATTTTATCAACCGAGCAAACACATAAATTCAAGCTAGCATATGGTAAAAGTTTAAGAATTGTGTTTCTGATTTCAATTCAGAACAGTATCCAGTTTTTATCATGCAGCCGAAATACTTGTGGAAGCGTTTCTCTCGTTTTTGAGCCGGTGATTTCTTACACTCTGCGAGTAAGTCTCAGCGTTTTGTTGACCAATTCACTAAGAATTCTTCATTACTTTATGAAAGTATACTTTATGAAAGTATACTTTATGAAAGAATCGCTTTGACATTCCCCCTTAACTACCCCCGCCTTAACTACACCTTCATTAATTAAAGATTTAATTGATATAATTAGTGGTTGTACAAGACCGTTTTACAAGACCGAGATAGAATTTTTCGAAACTGTTAATTTCAACTTTAACGCCCAATTTTAATGCATAATGAACATCATGAACAAAATTTTAGTTGTAAATTTTCACATATTGGAAAAGG